AGTCTGATCTGGAGTTCCTTCCGAAGCGGAGAGAATATACCGATTGACAAAAAATCGCACTTCTGTGAAGTGCTAATGGATCGAACACGGACGGCCGGTGAATCGAATCTGCGGCCATCAGACCCCGACTGTGGATTAGCCTGTAAACAAGTAAGCCGAATGTGTCAAACTCGATCGTGGTGCACTGCAGAGAAACGCTCTTTCTATAAAATAAGCAGAGCGTTGGAATCCTTCTACTTACGATATTGAATGGTTAATAATAGTCTGAGAAAGGAGCTCTGTCTTGCTAGAAAAATGCGTGTGTGAAACACATAGGTTTTTCTTCTGTAACAACGTCAAAACAAAGCTTTTTAGTAAAACGGCCATGTGTCGTTGTAGCAGAGATTTGGGCTTTCGCATGATTACTAACACTCATACGAAAAGTTCTGTCCAGCGAATGAGATCGGTTTTTCATTTGTCGCCTTATAATGGACAAATACCTCAATCAGTCACATATGAATTAGATTTGCTGTAATGAAATAGCGTCAAACCAGACAAAATTTCTAGACTTCAGCCCACATATAAGCCCTGCCGAAACCTAGTATATGTACTAGGGTCTTTTCAACGTTCCTGCCACGGTTAGCGACGTTCATCTCTCCCTCTTCCTCTTTATTCCTTCTTTTTTCCTTTATAAATCTGCCTACATCAACTGTGTTCTACATTTAGTACACGCGATTAGAATCAAATACAAACGTCACAAATTACCCTTTCCAAAACGCGTGCCAACCAATTGCCCAACCGGCGTTCAAGTGCTGCTATCACTCTTTCTTCGACACAAGCTCGATCTTTCAACGACAAACCGTCTACGCTTTGTCCTGACAAGCGCATACCGGCTTTGGACTCAGTAACACTGATAGACTTTGGATAGGCGTTTAGTTAACTAGAAACCTTATTATTCAACCGCTCTCGTGGTCGCAGAGTGATGGCACAACAAGAGTGCAACTTGTTGGCACGAGCGCTCTGGAAAGGGTAGTGCGGGTTCAATTGTCGACTGACGTCCAAAGCTTACATGTTGCCCATCTGCTGGGCGACTGTATGATCAAATACGAGATATGAACCTTCTGACTTGCTCCAATAATCAGCTGATTGATGCGCTGGCTCGAATTTCCCAAAATATGGATACTTCCGCTTCCATTGCAAATGATATCCACTCCACGAGTCCCCAGTTCAGTATGTCGTCTGTGATAGGGTTATATTCCTTTTCAATTGAACGCTTTTTCCAACTCCTCGTCTCTTTTCTCTCCTGACTCTTCCACTCTTTGTCCTTCTTTCATATTTACACAACGTAAGAAGTTTCAATAACAAGGTACATACGTGTAAGATGTCCATAACTCCTCACAAATCTCGAAACCAATCGTGACATTGTCTGATGATCTCAGAACGCCATCTCCGAATGGAACCGTTTCCTTCAAGTTGAGAAGTCACCATTCAAGCCTAAATTGTTATGAAACCTAATAACGTTGAATACACAAATAGGAACCTGATCAAAGCCATAGGCACCGTCGAGCTCGAATGGAATCGTATGCAATGACTTCGACCACCGAACAAACCAGCGACTCTCACGATACACATCGTCATCACAAAGAATCATTTTTGGGCGTATGAGCAGGATTTTCCTGCAACACTTGGGAGTGAACAGTGCACTCTAAAGCATAGAGTTTATCGAGGGATTTTACAACCAGACAACATCCAATGAAAAAAAATTAACAACTAAAAAAAACGAGGTCAATTCTTCCAAGAACTACTGTTGCTCATCACCTTCATCGAAGAGGCCCTCGATAAGATCAACTGTAAGAAGAAAGTGTAATGTTCTCATTTGGCAGATTGGAGGGAGTCACACACTAATCCTAGCAGTTCTATGTTCGCCGTACGGACTTGAACCCTCGAATACGCTGGAATGACTTGGCCTTCCGTATACGAAAAGGATAAAACTCTTAACGTTGATCAATCTCTGAGAGATGCGCCATGCATCCGACTCTGTCGTGAATCGTTTTAGGTGACTGAATGCATGTCTAGCCTTTACCATGACGGTGACCTACCCGACTACGGAGAGATAGGAAGACTTAATGAGCCTCAAGTTCGGGAATGAATGGTCGACTATCGCTATATTCAACTTCTTTCACAATCCAATGACCACGAAGTTGATGATCAAGTCTTGTTCGCCCAACATTATGAAGCCTTCTTTCTCCTCAGAGCCGATGATTCAAGTTGATAACCCACAGTCGTTCGTTCTCACGCTGCTGATCTTCGTCTTCAATCAAACGGTGATCCACCGAGAAAATTCGCCTCGGACGGCAACAAAGACAAAGATCCACAACGTGAAGGTAAAGGGCTGAGATAATCAACTCGAATCATCGGCTTCAAAAAAGATGATGATGTCGGAACGCTAGCCGAATGATACTTGTTTATCAACCATGAGATATTAGCTAAATCATAGAGAAACCGTTGATGAGCGACAATGCCGAGTTGGCAGAAACGCTGGTTTAACCAGCTGCCAGTGTTTGGAAGAAAATACAGATTTTTAAGATGCGAAACTACTTGAGCATAATAGCGGGCACATTTCAAAAGTAGCAGTAGAATACGTTGAACAAAAAAGATTGCCCCTTTCGGGACCATGGCCCAACCCTCTGTATCTCTAACCCCCGGCGTGCTGCGTTTAACAGTGGCGACTAACCCCAGCGTAAAGTGACGTCTAACAATGGCACGCTGGGGGTTAGACGCAACTGCTAGAAGCAACATGCTCCATCGTAAGGCGCAACATGCCATTATAAGACGCAATGCGCTGGGGGCTAGAGATGGGGGTCCGTGGTCCCGAAAAGGTTGAACCTTAACCTGAAGCCTCGGAGAACTCTCGAAAAAAAAGCCACCATGAGAAACTGAAGCAAAAAAAAAAAAGAACTGCAAATGTAACATACCCATTCAAAATAGTTACAAGGCAATTGTATAGAAGCATCCGCTGACGAACGGGCATCCCAGTTACTATCATCAGTTCCGGCCACTGGAATACATAATAAACAAGAGTGTACAAGATCAGCAGACCTCACTAAACTCACTTTTTTAGAGTTTTTCCACAATCTCTTTCAATATCTCCCACGAGTGGATCTCCGTATCCCATTCGAAGAAATGGTCAGCACATCCATAGCCAGGAATCTCAAGTTCAGGACCGAGTCTCAATCTCGCACCTCTTCGGTTCGCTTCCTCGCAAGCTGTTTGGAATTCACACAATCGGAGGCGATCATTCGAAAAATGTGCTCTACCACTACAACTAAGAAAATGATACCTAATAATATTGAATGTGGTACGCAAACAATCATCCAAAGTGGGATTTAAACCCGCGTTTTACCTTTACCGAGGGACACGTCTTACCACTACACCACTGAGGCCATCATAAAAGGATAAAGGATAAAGCTCTCGGCGTTGATCAATCCCTGAAAGATGCGCCATGCAATCGACTTCAATTTTTAACTTCGTTTGAGGTGATTGAATGCATATCTGGCCTTTACAATGACTCGCGGTGGCCTCCCGCTGAACCGAGTCAGTGCTGCTTATCCTCCAAGACAAGCTGAGACCAGTCTAGGTACCAATTTATCGACCCCGGAGGGATGGATGACTTGGTGAGCCATGAGCGCGAGATCGAACCATTGACCTCGTGTGCGACGCAGAGCACCTCTAACCACTGCGCCACATGCGCTCGAGGCCATCATACCACTGCTACAAAGCACTAAGAATAAAGGAGTCATATGGATTATACATGTAGAAAAGGCTGCAATCTCAACTGGGTTCGATTACAAGATATGACTACTCGAACAAACCCACTAAAAGTTGGTAGCTAACAGCTACCATAGGTTATATTGATGAAAAAGTGGTAGCAAAGCAGTGATCTCAATGGCGCAGTGGTAGAGGATAAAACAAGGGTTCGACTCCCTTCTAGAGTCGAGTTTTTGCGTAAAAATAAATATTTTACGTTGCATACTTACAACATCTACCAGTGCTATAACGCAGCAAAGATAAAGATATAGATTGAGGGATGAATATTTAAAGAATTTGGTAAACTGTACGACTAGACCACCAAGGTCAGCGCTTACCATAACTCGTTCTTCGGCATAGTCATAGTGGTAGCAAGCGCCCCCGATAAGAATTAAACACGGGTTCAATTCCAGCTTGGGGTCGAATGCTTTGCATAGATCATTCAACACCATTAGGTATATAGTTAAACATTTCAACACTGCTGCCATAAAAGCGCTAAAATGGAAGAAAATCTCGTAGATTGTACGACTGACTAGTCAGGATTCGTTGAAGGTTTCCAGCAAAATCCAAAGCCCAATTGCTGACGGTACAAACGGCCAGACAGACACGACGATTCCACGGTGAAGCCATGACGATGCCGTATATTTATGGTTCGATCCCAGTCTAGAAGAATTTTTATAACCTGTAATAATCCAGAATAGAACTTTCGGTACCTGTACGTATAACGGCAACTATCAAAACCCAGTCTCATTCGCCGAACAGGAACTTTTCATAGGAGTGCTAGTAATCATTCGAAAGCTTAAATTTCTGGCTAGAGCCACACGTGGCCGGTTTTCGAATGGGTCCTTGTATAACGCTGTAAAGTCTTAAATAAAATTGTGTTTCACACGACCTCGCGTTTTTTTTATCTCGCTTATATTTCGCTAGACAAAACTTCTTCCCATGAGTGCTAGTAGTCATTAGAAAGCCTTTCCCGAAGAACTCAAAAAAAGTGTCTGCTTTTTGTAAAAGCTCTTCTGAGAGAGCGGTAGGAGGAAGAAATGATTTGTGCTTTACACCTCACCGGACAGAGCTGTTTCTTCAGACTACTAGTAATCATTCGATAGCATAAGTTTCAATGATTCAAACACGATAATCACCTTTATTTGACCGCCGATTGCGGTGTTATGATGTTTAGATAAATCCAATGATGTAGAGCGGTGTGCAAAAACGTTTACGTCAGCCGGGATTTGAACCGAGATCTTACTCGTTCCGGGGAGCATGTGCCAAACCGTTGCACCACCGACGCTCGTTTTGCACTCCACGTAGTAGCGGAAAGAGTGCAACGGTTTGGCAAATGCTCCCCGGAACGAGTGAGATCTGGGTTCAAATCCCGGCTGACGCAAACGTTTTTGCACACCACTCTACATCATTGGATTCATACACTGGTTACTTCCAAAAAATATCGTTAGCAGGGAGAATAAGACCGCGTTTTACATTTTCGGTGACCTTGTTCACCGTCTTGCCACGGGGTCGGGGGAACGGGAGGTGGGGGGGAGGGGGGGGGGGGCGGCAATTGAACGATGGCTTGGTCATTAGATATGTGGAATGCAATTTTTTATTCAATGGGGGATTTTTTCTCTGCTTTGAAGGGAAACTTCAGATACTACGAAAGTTCCTCTACATGTTAATATGCTTTTCGTGCTCCCAGCGAACCACACGTGTGAAAAAAATTGAGGCGCGCAGGGGTGTGAAATATAAATTTATTTTGAATATTACAGCGTTATAAAAAGGTCTTTTCAAAAACCGGCAATGTTGAACTCTGGCCAAAGATTTAAGTTTTCGAGATTACTAACAATTTTATGACAAGTTGATCTGTTCAGCAAATGGCATCGGCTTTTCATTTGTCGCAGTCTAACATATAAGCAACGAACTTTCCGCTAATATATCGACTGTGCCTTCAAGAAATCTCGTAGCTATTTACTACCACTTAGAATAAGTTTCTTTGGAAGTTCCTTCCAGTCCACATAGTTTCTGCGAATTGCATACTTGTCCATAACCAGAAATAAAAAACCGATCTCAATCGCTGCAGAGGGGATCTTCATAGGAGTGTTAGTAAGCATTTGAAAGCTGAGATTTCTGGCTACAGCCCCACATCGCCGGTTTTCGAAAAAGCCTTTTTTTGACGCTGCTATAGAACGAAATTTCTTGGGCTACAGACGTGCATATTTCTAACCCGACAGAGTTCTTTCTTTGGATTATTAGTTGTTATTCGACCGCGCAATCGTTCCTAATTCCATCGCTGTGCTCATATCCTATTACGACCGTTTCTCTGCAACACAGCAAGTAAAATAAGTTGAATTCGCATGTGCGACTAAGGAGGTCTTTGGCCAATTCACGAGCCGCTGACGCGATGTCACAAGAGTGGTCCAAGATCTATCGATCACCGCCTCAACGCACGTAGCCGCCTCAACCAGGTGCACGTGAATTGGCCAAAGACCCTCTTGGTCGCGTATGCGAATTCAACTTATTTTACCTGCTGCGTTTTAGAGAAACAATCTTCTTACAATATAAGCAGAGCGTTCGAATCAGCAATGATTATTATCAAATGATTACTGATAGCCGAATAAAAGGGCTCTGTCTGGCGAGAGTTATGCGCGTCTGTAACGCAAGAAATCTCGTTCTATAACAACGTCAAAAAGAAGGGATTTCAAAAACCGACGATGTGGGGCTGTAGCCAGAAATCTGTGCATTCGAATGGTTTCTATAAAAAGTCCCTGTGCAACGAATGAGATCGGTTTTTCACTTGTTGCCTCATTATAGACAAATACCCTGATTGAACGACGTTAACTTGCGTAATCAAACCTTTGTGTATAATGACAGCGTCATGGAAAAATACACACGTCAAGGCACTTTTTGCTGGACAAAGCTCTTCTCCTAGACTTTTAGCAATCATTCGATAGCATGATTCTCGGCAATTTCAACGTGGTACATGGTTTCCAAAAAGATTTCTCTAGTGCGCTGCAATGGCCAAAAGAAGGTTGAGTTTCGCACTCGACGCGTGTTTGAAAGCTTGAACGTGCGGACGAGATCATAGAGTACCAGAGCTGCATGTTCCATTTGGAGTTTTTCAGCACGGAGAAAAAGAAATCCCAATACGTCGCTTTTGAAATTAAAAGTGCAAAAGCATATGGAAGACAATGGGGTGATCGCATGAAAGGTTCCACTAATGTATTACAGCACTTGATGTAGTGAAGAGGACAAAGAACATCCGACTCCGTGCCCACCTTTTCGATCGACAATTATCCCCGCCCTAACGTATGCAGCAGAAACCTGGTCGCTACGTACACAGGATGAAAGATCACTTGGTGTTATCTAATGCGCAGTCGAAAGGTCGATGCTAGGAGTATCCCGTATTTCGCAAATGAGACAAAGGATCCGAAGCTCCGACCTACGTCAACGATCGAAAATCAGAGACGCCGTTCTACACGCCAGGATATCGAAACTTCAACGACAACCGATGGACGAGAGCCGTTACCGACTGGATTCCCCGGGACGTCAAGCGCTCTAAAGGAAGACCACTGACCCGTTGGTTCGATTTCTTCACGAAAGCGGTAGAAGAAAGATATGATGCTCAGCGAATCCCCAGAGCGAGGAGGACCCACTGGGCTACTCTTGCACGTGATAGGGAAAAATGGAAGAGTTGCTGGTACCCGCTCGAGTCACTCGACGATCAACGGGACGACAGGTGATGGGTGATTACAGCACTAAGACTGGTGCATAGAATAGCACGAGTTGGTCCGGACGACAATGTAAACAAGTAAACAAACAATCTCCGAGGAGTGAGTACTGACTCGTAGAATGACACGTTCTATGGGTGACTGCGACTCGTGAACTAATCGACGAGCAAAAAATTGAGGAATTCCCGTTTTCTTCTCAACCTCAGCACGACGGATCAATATGTATTCTTTTCATGGGTGACCTAACTCGAGGTTTATAAAGGTTCGACATTTGACTCAGTGCCATCGTAAAGACCGCGGAGAATTGTGGGCAATGAACTCGAGACTCCGCAGTCGGTCTGACTCCGAAGGAAGGAGAAGGCGTCAAAATCTCACCGATTAAGGCTCTCTGTCAATCTCGTGTTAACCCTTTCGAGATCGTGGACCACCTATTTTGTATCTCTAACCTTCGGCGCGGCAACACTGGACGGTCTGCTCCACCTCCTCTGCATCTCTAACCCTCAGTGTGTGAAAGCATCAGTGTATTATTGTATCATTTCGATTGTATTGTTGTTGTTATAATCCATGTTATGTTATATGTAGTCATATTATGTTGTTAGAAGTGGAAAAATAACAACAATAATACAATTCAGAAAAAGAATGCTCGAAGAATTAGAACTAATCATTTTTAGAATTAATTATTTTGAATGTTTATTAAGAGGTTTAAAAACAGTCGATGTCATGGAACAATAATACGATTGAAATAATACAATAATACATTGAATGCGTTCCCACTCTGGAGGTTAGGGATGCAGAGGAGGTGGGTCCACGATCCCGAAAGGGTTGATTAAATCGTGAACGAAGACATTTTCACACATTGCAACGGCTTCTCATTCGTCAAGTGATTGTATCGCGAAAAAAAAAGATAGCAGAACAGGAGCCCTGAAAGTGCAGTGGTTAGTACGCGACCAAGGAGAGGGCGAGGCTCGGGTTCAACTTCCGCCCGCTGCTCAGAGTTTTGCATATCACTCAACACCATTGGATATGTAATTGTGATATCATATCATTGTTGAAAAGAAACGTTGAAATAAAGAATATCTAATGATTAGAGGATTTGAAGAGTTCGAGAACGGTGAGGACTTTAGACAGAGCTTGGTGTAATGCTCTGTCACTTACTGAATCTTACCCTATACCCTGTCAATATAAAAAGTGTGATCTCATCCTTTCTGCGTTCATTTAATTCTTCCAAAACCATCCTAATTTATCTATCCCAGGAAAGGGGTGGGGGGGGGGGTTAATAATATGCAAACCACTGACACTAGTTGGGAGTTGAACCCGCATTTTACCCCTCTCAGGATCGAGCGGTACGTTGCGTACCGTGCCGCGCGGCGTCAAATCTCACTCAGCTATTGTAATGGCGGAATCGCGTCTTGTGGGAATGCATGCGCAGACATGCAGATGCCGCCTCCTGCGACTGCCAGGTAAGCGACGGCGCGATCCCGCCTGTCTATCAACGCTGGCCCTTAAAGGGTTACCAATGGCGATGACACGTGCTACCAATATACCACTGATGACACCGTTGTGCTACCAGTCCTTCCTCGATCCCACATCCTACGTCTGCGTGCACTTTGTGCACCTCAACCGTTTCAAAATTAGCGTATGTGATGTGGTTGGTATTTTACTTTAACCCTTTCGATGCCATGTGTCCCATATGTAGGGCAGACGTTTGCTTCCAGCGGCGTTGAACCGCTGACCTTCTTTCATTAGACTGACGCTCTGCCTCTGATCTAAGCTGCCAGAATGTGGTTTACGTTGGTGACATGCCGCCAATATTACATGCTATTGCTGGTGGGCTTCTACAAAACGAATGTTACTAATTGCGTGCCTTCACAGTTTATATCGTGTTTGAGCAAAACAGTTGCCTCCATGCGGGATTGAACCGCAGACCTTCTGTTTACGAGACAGACGCTCTGCCACTGAGCTATAGAGGCCATGGCTGGTTCACGATAAAATCCACTGTTAAAGTGAACGCGCTTTCACAGTGAAACAAAGTTCTCTTCGTAATTAACGATTTTCTACATTTGTATCGTACTCGCGTGGAACTATATCCATGAGAGATTGATGTGCTAGTGCTCGTTTGCGAGACAAAGAGTTTGCCACTAGGATATTGGGTCTCGCTAGATGACGACGATGAAATATTCCACTAAAAAGAAATGTTCAGCAAAGTTGCATATTGAGAGTCTCGCGTGTTGTTTCGGCTGCTGCTTGAGGATTTCACCTTCTCTAAATTGCCGTAGAATATTGGTCGGGAGGATTCTCCTCGAAATTTCGGAGGTAGCTTCGCTAAAGCGTTTCTAGACGTTTATTTGATTGACTGCAAAAGAATGTGGACAAGGGAGGAACCAGCGCGATGCTTATCACCGTACTTCCTGATACATCGAATCACTAACCACTGCGCTACCCCACTCCTAATGTTGTTATTGACACGCATTGTTGATCCGTCTTCACAGCGTTTTTCTTCACTGTGCAATCCCAAACTTCTAGCATTCACTTCGGTTTTTTTTCGTTTTCTCCTTTAAAGTCGTTAGAA